CCATGCAATTTAATTGAGTGAGGGGGGGGGGGCACTACATGTTTAGACTTACGTCATCATCATGTCTACTCTACAGGTAATGGAAAAATTGAGGAGAGCATAATAAATTACCTTACAGTGGTAAGTAAAATTCATAAAACACCCCCAAAGAGCGGGGGAGTAAAACTAAGGAGTGCCTACTCACCAGGTCACCGATACAAAAGTTGTTGAAGAGGATAATGAATTAATTTCTAAACAGATAAAAGTCGAACCTAAAAACTAAGTGTTAACTCACCTTATATTCAAATATAAACTTACGTCTACAAACTAAAAATTGGTAAAACCCCAACAAAATAGGGTAATGAAGACTGGAAACCACCAGCAGGTTTGTTCTAACCTTTTAAAGTTAGCATTAGAACTGCAAGGCCGTGAGAGTTTGCGCTGATATCAGTTTTGGTGAGCGACCTATATGCTGCCCCAAAAATTGTAATTAACGATGAGCCTTACTGGATTACCGACTTTAGAGATATCAATCCGGTCAACTGAGTGAGTGCAATTAACAGTAGCTGAGTAAATGTGTTTCCGTAGATGCCCTCGATCTCTAGAACGTCATCCTGAGTCCTGACTGCACAATGAATTAAAGGAGTTGTAATTTTTTGATGTAGATATCCGAATTCGCTTTGTCGTTTCGGGGAGTCGTCGTTCTCTCTACGCGATAGCCGAATTTTATGGGGTGTCAGCCCATTGTTAGGAGGGAATCTTTTGCTTTTGGCTTTTAACCGAATAGTAAGTTTATCTTTTTGCCTTTGGGTGTATTGTAACCAAAAAGTAATTCTAATTTCGCCACAGTTGATAATTTTTTTATACGATCCCTCGTAAACACCTCGGGTAAGACCCCACCGCTGTTGCGATTTCACCCGGTTTTTTTTTACGTTTGTTTGTGTTTGTTAGTAATAATTCACTTATTGTCTTCAGTCAAGCAACGTTGCTCCCGGTGGTACTTGTATTTGAATGGGTTGCTGTTTTTAAAAAAAAGTTGTTTGGCACCACGGCGCGAAATAGTAATCTTTTTGCCGTCAACAAATATTTTAGTTTTTTTAATTTGACATGTTTTTCTGTTTTTTGTAATAAATCCTGGGAACATTTTTGTAGGTTGTACACAAGAAAATAGGGTCTTTCAAATAACTTAATAAAAATGTTAGGTTGCTATTTCGATACCGTTGCGTTTCTAAAATCTGGCCCGTTATTTTCATTCCAGTATGCCTACGTTACCTCGGAAAATTGCCTACGTACGTACGTACCTACATATATAAAGACGGAAAAATGTTATTTTTTAAAAGTTGCTTAAAATGATCTAAAATTTGATGAAATCTTAGCATGTTCAAAAAACGATGATCGCAATAGCAACCTAACTCTAGCCAAGAAGCTAAAAAGTGGCAATAAACGACCAACAAGCGCTTGCAACAAAAAAATTTTAAAATACATCATCAAGGGGCTAAGTTCACATGGCTGTAAAAATTCATACATGAAAAAAGTGTTTTTTTGTACATTTTCAAAGCAGTCGTAGAAAATCTTTTGAACGGTAAGTTTTAAACTCGGTCACGTCTAACAGGTTTTTGGATATATGTCTCTATAGATTTGCTTTATAATAGCTTATGTACATTCATTGTGAATAATAGTAGGTTTTGTAAATTTTCTAAAATGTAAATGTGCTTAATTTGTGCTTTTTTTCTTTACGCAACAGAGTTTATTTTTGGATGGCCCTGTTTTTTTTTTAATTTTCTCAACACAGGGTTAGCTTTAACATCCCCATGAAAATTAGAAGGAATCAAAATAAACTTTTTCTTCAAATTAATAACATTTGAATTATTTCCAATAATAGCCTTTCACCCCTCTTAAATCTATAACTTTGAACCGTCAACATTTTGAGCATTATTATTATTATTATATTATTTATTATTATTATTACTTATCCCGTAAAAAGTAAAGTAAAATATTATTAATATTATTAATTTGTTATGCATAATAATGAAATGATGGACGACGTCTTACTTCTATGGCGGCTATTCCTCCAAATTGTGGATGGAGAAGACGGGAAGATCTTGGGCAACGCAAAATTGTTTTTTTTGTTTTGCAACGTTGCGCAACGTTTCAGGCCTGCGTTTAGTGTGAGTTAAGTACAATTTGATTCTGACGGAAACGTGTTGCTCGCAACGTTACGAGACGTTGCGAAACAAAATGTTGCGGTCGGTAAAATAGTTGATATGGTAAATAAGGTTCGGGCGCAATATATGGGTTCTCGACAAGATAACTAATCCAATTAATATAATTTTGCAAAATTCAAGGAATTGGAAGTTTTGCCAATTATAACGACAATACAGTATTCCTTCTTTCTTTTCTAAACACCTGTTAATTCGGAAAGGTAACAAACTCAATTGAATTCCTAAATTTTAAAAAAAATCTGGCTAGGAAAGGATAACCTTATTGTGTTGAATATTTGTTTTTTATCGGCAAATTGTGAGAGCAATAGATTAAGTATTTGAATAAAGATATGCCCTATGTTTTAACAAAATAAGTGACCATGGTGCGAAACGTAAGGCAATCTCAAATTTGGGGGGAATCATGGTATTCTCCCAGTTCTCTGTCTCCTTATTCGGCCAATGCGTGGCCATTGTTCAATTTGTCTTATTCTTATGTCATAGTTTCATTCGTTGACTTTATATCATAAAGACATTAGCCAAGGACACCGGTAATACCTAGACAGTCTGTTATTAGAAAAGTGGAATCCAAACTTCAAAGATGAACAAGATGAATTTTCAAAACAAATTACATTAAGTACCATCCACTTCATGAATCAGATATTTTTTTTACTGAAATTTCATATGTTGACGGAGTGATTAAGGACATATTATAGGGAGATTATAATAAAGTTGCGTAAGCTTGAGCTCATTTAACAATCACATGGTGGTACTCATTTCGTTACTTGTAGCATGACATGATATTAGTAATACGAGCACTTCTAGCGATATGTAACCAAAAACATGCCAAACATGATTTCAATCACTCACTCAATA